GAAAAGCTCATTCAGGAGAATGGGGACAGTGAGCAGAGCTCTGGGGATGTTGGAAACGCAAATGGAATTACTGGTGCTGGAACTGGAACTGGAAACGGTGCTGCGGCGCCGGTGACCGGAGGTGGAACTACGAGTTATGTTGGGCCATAGATGCGAGTTGGAGTGGGGAAGGATAAGGGAGAAGCCGCGAAAATAGGACATGGAGAGGAAAGAAGAATCTTGGTTATGCACGAATGGCTAACGTGCTACGTGGTGTTCATTTAGTATAACAAAAGGTTGGGAGTAGTGTATCGATTGGTGAACGAAAGAGGTTTGAAGCCTCTTTGGATAGAAGGAATATAGTAGGATATGTTATACTTGATAGTTGGAAGCTAGATGCTCGAATTTAGGAGTGAATAACATTCTTATACTTCTGATCTATTTGGAATTGGGGAGATTGCAGAAGCTTTAGTGTGGGATATGTGATGTTGTAGGATGAGTGTGGTGATATTTCTTGCAAGACTGGGATACTTGAAAGTTGAATTTACATGTTTGAATATGTGTGGTGAAAAGAGGTCGATGATTAATAAAATATGTTTATACATCTACGTTGGCAATCTGCATAGAGTGTGAAGTGATCGCGTGTGATGCAGAAACAATTCCGGGGGTGAGACGAAAGGGAATGGTTACCAATTTTCCATCAATATCAAGTTTATCAGTTCATTTTTATAGCGGTACATCAAATAAGATTAATAAATGCTTGGTTGTTGCTTTGAATTTGTACATAACATCTAAAGCCATAGATGGGAGAAAGGTAAAGATGAAGGAAGTTAGCAATGTTGATCAATGCCTGGAGTTTAACCACTACGGTCCAATTTTTCCTCTGGTGTTTATTTAAGCTATGTGTATTTATAACATGATCAAAACTACGAGGCACGAGTATTAGGAATGTGTTCGAGAACGGGGAAGATGCATTTGTTTTCTCGACTTGGGTTGCTTTTGAGAAAGAAGTCCACCTTATAACATCAAATCTTTTAATTCTCTATCTTTAACCTCATGTGCGCCCCGTCTCTCCATCAGATATGCGATAAGCCTATACGGTGACATCAGGACCTATGTAGCCTTCTGCATAAACTCATCTGCCAATCTCTGTAGATAGAACCCTCGAACATCCGTAGGCAGACTTTCAAAAGACTTCACAATCTTTGCAATATCTTGTCTTCCTTTCTCGTACGCTTGTAGATCGCGATTACCATAAACATCTTTGCCTGCCGCATATCCATTTCGGAGATTGCGAAAAAAGACGTTGACAGCGACGCTCATGCCAGAAGTGGGCGAGGCGGTATGTAGCCAGAGCGAAGGGAGGAATAGTACGTCACCCGGTTGAAGTAAGACTTCATGTGGGTGCGTGTGTGAGAGGCTGGGATCGCTGAGGGTTTCGAAAACATTGATACCTGAGCTTGAAGCACCAGGAGCGAAGTCAAAATATTTGACATCGGAGGGTGGAAAGAGTAAAAGGCGCTTAGAGCCCCTGACTTGGCAGAGAACATTGACCATAACCTAAAGGCATTAAGACTTGGGTTCATCTTGTAAACTAGTACGAAGAAAACTTACATCATAATGTAACCACATATTCACGGGTCCGGAGATACGAAGTGGGGAGCTATGTGCGTTATCCGTAACGGACGCTAATTCTGGAGGCAGTTTAAAATCCGTCGAAATCGCAGGGTAATCTTTCACAAGATCGGCAGGAAGTTCTGATGCTTTTTCTGCAGATAGTGAACGTAGATAGAGCTTACTTCCCTTTTCTGTCTCGTCTAAAAAGTCGCCAAATTTCTTTGTTACATACGAGAAGTTCTTCGAGCTAAAATTCATATTCTCTGATGATGCTTCGTGCACAATAACCTATAAGCATTAAAGACGAATTATAAGGTGGACGGGTGCATATTTACCTCTCTATCTGCACCAACTTTGTCCTTCAGATACTCAGAGCTCCATTCTTTAGTGCAAACACCGATATCGAGTCCTTCAAGAATGACCGGTTTGCTGGAGTCAAGAACTTTGTCAAACTCTACAGATGAATTGATCTTCACCCGTGGTACTTTGACTAGAATCTGAGTTCCTGGGGCCGAGCTTAAGAGACTGGTAAGAGTTGATTTAGGAGTAGCAGCGCCATCAAAGGTATGCACACATTTCCATGGCGGACATGAAGCATTGTTCGTTGCATTTTCACCGGGGTTGGGATCGCCAGAACACTTTGTGGTTAACGTATAGCAACCTTTATTCCAGAATGTTCCGAATGAAAAGCATACTGCTGAGCCACCCATGATTATGATGTTATCACCATTGGAGATAGCAGAAGTACCAATGAGAAGCGGCCGTGGTTCAAAACTCACTGATATGCTTGAGCAAGAGAGCCCGGCTCTCATCATACCTTCGATACTACTGCTACATATCTCATGTGAAAGGGGCAATAGAATATCCCTAACAATACCGCCTACAACAATAATATTGCCTTGGTGGATCAGTGCTTGTGCGCCAAAACGAGCAAGAGTTGCCCCGTTTTCGGCCTTTGTATTGGGACTTCCAAGAAGTGTGAAAGCGATACAAGGTTGCTACCTATGTCAGCTTTAAAGATTAAATGTAGCTAAGTGTGAGACATACCTTCCCTGTGTGTTGCGATATACTCCATTCCCAAACCTCTTCTTGGACTAGTCCATCTTCAGCTATTCCACCAGCGATAACTCCAAAGCTTGACCCTGGAGAATCAGATGGGAATACTTTAGGATAGATAACAAGAGAAGAACCAATGGTAGGTGATGGCCGCCCGTTTGAATCTGTACTGCATCTCACCCATCCACCCTGTCGGCTCCAGATCATGACATTATCGACCAGAGTTCTTGAAGTACTTTTGCCACCAATCACCATCACATAGCCATTGCCAAGATGAACAGCAGAATGTCGATATCTCGGCTGAGGAAGATCATCAACTCTCTCCCAAGTGTTTAACCATTTATGGTACACCCAACAGTCCGCTATAGAATTATCTGGCGACGTTCGGCCACCAACTAATAGAGATCCACCATCGCCAATTTCGGTGGTAGTGTGGCACATGCGACTTGATGGCCATGAATGGGAACCTTGGTAATCGAATGAACTGAAACCATGTACATCTGTAGAGTACACGTCACAACTACTAACTCGAGTATTAAGACCCATGCCAGAAAAGTTACCAATGAGATCTTGGCCCCTTTTCTCACTTTTTAGGGAGAGTGGAGCGGCAAATCTTCGTTGGCCTTGAGCTTTTGGATATTCAGAATATGTACTTTCAGTGTTGCTAGTCTTAAAGCCATTCAAGTTTTGCTTAGAGCTCTCCTGAATCGCTTCACGATTCTCTGTACTCACATTATCAGCGACGAGCAATAGATAATGACAGCCAAATAAAGCAAACTCTTCCCACTCGTCGAAAGGTTCAACGCTGTCCAAAGCAATCCTCTCACTAGAATCTAGAAAATCTTCGGCTCCCCAAAGCTCCCATAGATTGCGAACTAATACTGATGGCCACCCCAAAGAGCGGAAACGTCTGTCTTGCGCCGTCACAGTTGGGTATTTCTTGCATGCTCCTAAAGGCGTACCGAGCTTGTCAAAATGTGCCATCATTGTTTTTGCAAATGGATGACTGATTTCTTCAGGAAGTAATTGCTCTAGAAGACAAAAACGAGCTAAAAGAGGTCAACTTTAGATCCCTAGAGAAGTAAGAAAATAATTTTACCATCGGGGAGTTTATTTGCCCATTGTATCAGTGCATCTGCTGCCTCCGTAGGCATATATGTGATTGAAACCTCTGCCGTGAACAAGAATGAGCATTTCTCTATATCCACAACTTTTGATATAGTTTCTTCAAGCCGTTTAAGATCTCGCAAGTCACATCCCAGTTGCAAGTACTGATCACTACTGAGCAATATGTCTCCATTTTGAATAATGTTCAGATTAGTGAGCATGGAATTGAGCTCCGGTGCATTTTGTACCACCGTTTGCTTCTTGATCATTAAATCTTTGTAATCGATATCGATGAACTTCACACCTTGAGAAGCAGCAGGATATCTACTCATACATTGCCATGGAAGAGGATCACTTTGGAACATCAGCGAACAGTGTGTAAACTCGAGGGTTTAAGACCTACTATCCACATCCCAGATTGATAACAACCTTTTGTTTTTCAGACTTCTGCTCCAGGAACTGTTTCACTACATGGTCTATGGCCTTCATACGTAGCCAATATCCACGATTTATGAGAGGGGATCGCCTAAGGGGTTTTTTGACGAAATAACGAAAGAAATGTGGTTCATTTGGAAAGTAGAGACGTTCAACACTGCGTTTGGAAACAATACTGCTGTTATTGGTCTAATTATCATTAACATACACAGAAGATAGAGTTTTTCCAGTGTAAAAACTTACACCCATGATTGAATCATCCGTCTTCTGGGCTTTGGTCTGCCCAGACGATTTTGAGACTTTCGCTGGGCGACGCCCATTTTGTATTTGACCTTCCATTGTCTTAAAAGATTTCTCCCTTACCTGTAATAAATCGAGAGGTCTCCCAAAATGCTCAAGAGTCCTCTGGCAAAAATTTGATACTGGAACTTCAACGACTTTGACATTTTAGTCTAGCGGCCGAATTACCGAGGTTTAGGCGGCGAACCAGCTCCCATTCCTGGAGCTCTTCAGAGAGAATGGGAAGCAACCCCGCGTCCCTCAATAACTTCCTTGAAGTCGTTTATCGAGGCATCAATCTTAAGATCCGAAATCAAATGTGCAGCTCATACAAAAGAACATCAATTGCTACAGCTGCGCTGTCTAGTTGATCTTGAGTGACATCCGCAGAAGAGCCATTCCTAATCTCCAACCAACGCCATTGTGATTGCCAATCAACCCTGAAGCTTGCAGCGCACAGTACTTGCATTATCCTGGAGAAACATCGTCGCGCATATAATCGCTTTAGGGCCTCCTGATTCGCAGCCATGAATTATGTTACGTTCAACCAGGACTACAGCTGCCTGGCAGTTGGTTGGTGTTCTATCTGATCCAATACCGATAATTACTAATGCCTCTCATCAGGAACTGCCAAAGGGTTTCGAATATACCACACCGAGCCATTCTCAAAGATATTCACGGGGGATAATGAGAATGTAACTATAATTGAGATGCTTTTCTCAACGTCTTTGGTGGCCATCAAGCAGTCACCCAGACATATTGTGATTCAGAATACCAAGGTACGGTTTGAGATCAAAGTTATTATATGTCCTGGGACCTCCGAGTATCACATATGCTGACCATTCTTTTCACTACAGAGAGGCACGGTGATATGCGAACTTACATTCCCATCTGCGGTCTTGGCGGTGCGGTTGAACCGAAAACGATTTGCCGTGTTGTTGGAGGAGGAAATATACTTGTACGATATACAGAACATGGGTCTACTATACACCATTTCTACGTCAGCGAACCCCAACGCCATATGCTCCCTATCCGCTTCGTCTGACAACTGCTATTTGGCATATCCACTACCAAAGCCCAGGGAGGAGACTGGAGATAAGAGACCAGCCCATGCACCACCACTCTCTCCATACGTTGCACCGACATCCGGAGAGGTTCTCATATTTGACGCGAAATCATTAAAGGCTGTAAATGTTATTGAGGCACATCGAGCACCACTGTCTTGTATTGCATTGAACAATGATGGAACGCTGCTGGCAACCGCGTCAGAAACAGGAACCATTATTAGGGTATTTTCGGTACCAGATGGACAGAAGCTCTACCAATTTCGAAGAGGCACTTATCCGTCATCAATTTTTAGTCTATCATTTAACATGAGCTCTACGCTGCTCTGCGTATCCTCAAACTCTGATACAATCCATATATTCCGTTTGGGCGGGCCTGTTACTGGTTTGCCGGAGTCCCCACGATCTCCCGGCGACAAAGATAAATGGAGACGATCCCGGAGTTTTGATAGTGAGAATGGGTCTCCTCCAGCTGGCATTTCACCTGGCAGTGAAACGGTAGATGTTCCTATAGAAAAGAACAAGTCTAGTGGCACTTTTGGAAGCATGATCAGGAGATCCTCGCAAATGGTGGGCAAAGGTGTTGCTGGAGTCGTTGGAGGATACCTACCCCAAGCTGTCACTGAAATGTGGGAGCCAGCGCGAGATTTCGCTTTCATCAAACTTCCGAAAGGAGGAATGGGAGTTACTCCCCGAAGTGGTCCAGTCAAAAGTGTTGTGGCAATGAGTAGCAGTAGTCCCCAAGTAATGGTAGTGACGAGCGATGGGGGCTTCTACATTTACAGCATAGACATGGAGACAGGAGGAGAGGGAATTTTGGTTAAACAGTATTCGTGAGTAAAAATCCCGTGATTGATTTATATATTTCTAACCACTTCAGCAGTGTCCTTGAGGGCGACGACAGTCTGGAGCCACCGCCCATTAATTATGTGAGCTACCGTACCTAGAGGGTGTATATTTAATGGCGTTTTTTCTATCAAGCTTTAGCGTGCTTTATCTAGTCTTCAGTCTTTAAAACTTTCAGCATTATGTTAGGTGTTTCTGGTCGGTCGTTCTCGGTACTAGGAGGGGAATTATTGACCTAGCTTACGAGCCGTCTCTCATCTCATTGGTCGTAAAAATTAATAACAAATATCATTACAATCTCATCTCGTTCTCATAACATGCTATCTCCTCCACATATCTAGTAACCCTTATCGTCTTTCTGCCAAATTCAGTAGGTTGACAAGTTTCACTTACAAAAAGGAATTTGACACGGAGTATGGTTCAACCACCTTTACCTGGGCCGGAGTAGAGTGGAGTGGTAGAATAGGGCTTATTTGAGTATTTCGCGCGAGAAGGATTCAGTGACAGGCATGGGTTTTGCTGCATGCAATTCGAATCGTCGACGGATAGGATAGGCGAGTAATTCCTCCGTACCTGTCTGTGCCAATGTAGTTGTAGCCCTGTCTACATGTGTGTATTTTAGAGTGGATCATACATGTCCAAAACCCAGTATCCCCAGATTACTCATTGTTCAGGGCTTTTGTGGCATGTGAATGAGGTAAGATGAGATGAGACGAAATGGGATGGGATGGATTAGGATGAAGCGCCGCGTAGATAATACTATAAATTGGATCGCGTTTCAGAGAACGATATACAAATACACGATGTAGGTACCGTACCTTGCAGAAAGACCCTGACAGGCTGTATATCGCCTATTTTTGTGGAAGATAGGAATATTCGGTGGTGGCGATGGGCCTTGGGGTCATTAGAGTGGTTGCGCAAGAATGTGAATCCTTTCGTTTACGTTTGGATGATAATTTAGCGTGAAGAAAAACGTCTCCGGAAGGAGTCTCACCGCAGAGAACTACCTACTAGATAGAGATGGATTGAACTGATGGGTGTTAAACCGAGTTGGGTTCGGATATGTTACCCGGGGGTTTATTCGTGGACAGATAGAGCATTTTTGGAATTTCTTGTGTTTCTGTGCGAATATGCAGCAGTATGTAGGTACAGTGTTGTTTCGAATCCTTTGATGTGTGGGTGATTAGATGGAGGAATTTCTGGATTGGGTTGGATTTGATTGGATGGTGGATTTGGAATCCTGATAGCCCCAAGGAGAACTTTTTGTTCTAAATTCTTTTTTAGAACTTGAGGTTGCTGTTGTTATGATGATGGTGTCAATGTTCATGTGATCTATGTCTATGTAGGTGATGTTGCATTCAGGGGAGGATTTTCGGAATTGGTGGAAGGGGATGGAAGCCCCACCACAGCCTCGGCGGAATGCAGATGGAATTTTGAGATTGTAAGTGAAAGATTACTTATGGGGTTTTGGAATTAATATGATTAGATGATTCTATCTCGTAGTTCCTACGTAGTTACCTGCACATCCAGGATATCGAAGGCTCGTTTATATGATTCATGAGCAGAGGCTGAACATTAACCGCGAAGTCTGCCTTCTCAAGGCAGATTTGCGGTATCAAAGCATCGAGCTCGAGTATGGAGGCAGGCCAGCTAAAAACAGAAGAAAAAAAAAAGAGTCATCAAACAAACAGGGGATGTGTGATTGCATCATTAGCATATGATCATCTCAGGTCTATTCTCGACCTCACGAAGCAGGTACCGGTCGTGGGGCTGTTATCACTTCAAATAGACCAACATGGACGAAACTCAGATGCATCATTGATAAATATAGATGTTATTCATTATTCATTATTCCCAAACAAAGAGATATGCATGGCAAGGAGGGATTTTCACGTACAGTTGCTTTGTACATAATAATCTACCCAAGGGAAAGTATAGCATTGCATCGCGTGTAAGTGTGCATCTGCATCTCTTCCATGATCACACAACATCGGATGGCCCCAAAACTTGGTTTTCCTCCCCCTCATCTTCCTCCATCTACTGACCTTCTCTCCTGCTTGTACTGGCCAGTCGGGTTTGAAAAACTTCAGGGATCTAAGCGCCGTCGCAGGAAAGACACATCCGGCTATAAGCCGTTCTCAACCTATGGGATTTATTTGGGACGAACTTACAAGGGTTGGATTTTCAGTTACAACAGCTAGGGTATGAAGCTAGATCAGTATGGGTGTGTGGGCATTTTCTCGGGGAGCACAGGCAGACGAGACGATCTCTCGTGGTTTTTACTTTACCCCGAAGACGAGGTGTGGTTGTTGAAACGAGATCGACTCAATGGCTAGGTGTAAGAAGTCTTTTGATGGGTCTTAGGCTGTCTGACATCTTGTATATCATCTCATGCATTGCGGTAGGTCAAATTTGGAGATTTCCAAAAATGGGATTAGATGAGCGGATGAGCAGATAAGATGGACATCTAATCAAGTAAATGTTGGATTCAAATATGGGAACATGGCATTCACCGTTCGGTTTCCATGGGTCGGGAATTGGTCATTATTATTAATAAAGTGGAAAATTGTCATTTCGGTCCAACAGCCTCTTTTTTAATAGAGTGTAGTCCGACCATTAAAGTTATATGTACCCATCCGGTCCCAAAAAGATCTACATGCTTGTTAGCCTGGACCAAAAATTCGCACGGTCGATAATTAGATTGGCAGGGCAGGCTAGTTGATATGTGGGAACAACTGGCCCTATGAACTCGGTTGCAAACTTGGGCTTCTGACTGGATCGAAAGTACGAACATACGGACCCAAGTAATTGGGAAGAAGGAAAAGAAAATGAGTTACATCCTATCGCGTGAATGAAGGGGACCAGGAGGGGAGCAAATGTATTAAACAAATGGTTCTATGATGCAACGACAATCCGCAAATCGTTCCAACAGGAGTAGATAGAGTGAAAGACTGAGGTAATCATACTGCTCAGCCAAGATCTTGATAATACTTCGATAGTTGTACCGGTCTAAGCCCTCTGATGCACTGATCAAGCACACCCGCAAATCGACCTAAACGAGCTGTCCCTTAAATGTGTTGGTGGGAGGTCAAAAGACATAGCCATTCAGGGTCATGCTCGGTAGCCTGTCACATACAAAATATACAAAATACAGTGGCTTGAGTGGCCTCATTTTTCAACGAGTTTTATTGCAGCTAAACCAGAAGTGGAGGGAGGATCTAATGCTGCTTCAACTCTCGAAATCTCTCGAAATCACACTAATCTTATCTAGGGCAGAGGCAGCCGAGACAATCTGTTTCCCCCATCTGCAGGCAGCCGAATCTCTGACTGTTATCTGACAAAAACATCAATTTTGATCTCGACTCGATGACCCAAGAATAACACGGAAGCAAGCAAGCAGACAAAGGTAAAGTAACGTAACGCATTGCAACAAGTAAAACGACCGATCGACCATCCTGTAGCCTGGCCTCCACGATGTATCTAGCAAGGCATTGTTTTCATGCTGTAAGATCTGGATTCATCAATTTCCCCATTTCCCTATTTTCATTCATCTGACCAGACTTAACTGCGGGTCTAAACATGTGGTCCACTTAGAAATGCCATAATAAAGTACAGTACCGTACCGTACAGCCCTGAACCCTTAAAATACTGTTATAGTGTTGTTTGTTATCTGAGGTATGGTTCCTACTGGCCTATTCCAATAGCCGTTTCCTACTGTCCTAAGTTCTAACGTCGCTACTAAACTACTCAAGGCTGTGCGCGCTTTTTTTATCGTCATCCCTCTAGCATTCGATTGGAAGTGTCTTAAATGACTGGTTGAAAAAGTAAGATTGATCTGATTTTAATACCCAAACAGCGGGTAAATTGGTGATTTTGCGCGTCAATGGCAAAGGATACCACCTGGCACCTAGCTAGTCTCGAGCTAATTAATATGTGGATGAGATAATGGAAGTGATCAGTGGAGAAGTAAAAAATTATAAGCTTTCAGACGCTAGAACGGTCACTAATAGTTATGTTGATTAGTGTCAATTTTTAATTTTTGCAGCGCGTTTGCTAGTAACCTTCCCTTAGGGAGACTCGGAGTACAGTCATCCAACACGTTTGTCCTCTAGAAGGTTATTCCTCATGACCGACTACTGATAATTTGAGTGATGATTCTCGAAACACTGGGTTGGAAATATCAAATGCAATTCCAAGTTCCATTAACAACGTGCTATTCGACAGGGAAACCATGCTATCTCTGATCCACACAGCGTTCCGGTTCTGGTACGATCATACATCCGGGATATAAGAGATATCTACTCTACGATTGACTGTTGAGAAGTCTTGTAAGGGTATTCCATATATGGTAAGGGTAACGATAGAGTCAGGAAATCTTTACTTAGACGTCCCTGGATTTCTCGCGAACTTTCCAAAATTGAGCGTGGTGTCGTAGTGGGAACCCTTGCGGATAAGAATCTCATTATCTGATGGTGAAAGATATCCCGATATTTGAGAGCACACCCCCGATTCAGTCAACAGCCTCAGCACTCACTCTAAACGAGATCAAATTACGAGATGGCCTAAAAAAGATACTTCAAATCATATCTCAGCCAATGATTGCCAGATCTATCTGACAACAATGACAAGGCTTAGTCTTTCATTTTGTACTCTTCCTCGAGACCCTGGGACGAATGGGCCCCTGAGCCTGCTTTATACCATCAAATATAGCAACTTGAAGTGTTGTCTTGCAAATCTTCTGTTGGAAATACCAATTCTATTCAATTAGATGCATTCTACTTTTTCAGCTACTGCTTCTAACAATCTTTTGGGGCCGTTAGCTCTTCTAAACGAGAAACTAAAAAAACTACACAGTCATTTCGATTATGCTAACTTGCCCCATACAATAACAAATCCTCCACTTGCCCTTCCCCATATTACTTTGCACTCTTAACCTGATTTATTTAACTTACTTGCCGTTATAATATAGCACAATTAGCATAATATCCTTGCTTACGGGTAACTTTTGTTACCTTTATGTCGGATCTCGACCAGTGCGTCTCCTGCAGTTGGCTTATACGACAAGGGTGCCACCGATTTGAACTTCCATGGGGCCCACCCCCCTGCTTCCTCTTCTAACTAGTTCCGTCTGCCAACCTAGACTGCCGCAACCCTGGTGAGTTACAGGATCCCATTAAAGCCGCTATGTTTATATATATTTATTTGAAAAGCACGACAACCCTTAGAAATCTGCCTTGCAATACTTAGATGCTCGTGGTCTTCCTTTCTCTTCCTCGAAAGAACAGGAAATATACAGCTCATCTACCACCCTACATCCTTCAATCTTCCTAATATTTTAACTCCAGCTATTCTAGTAGCTTCGTATTGCATCTTCAACCTTTCCCATCCTGTTGCATATCACTCCCAAAGCTTTCCAAACTCCCGATTCCTTCAGGTTTATATTCGCCACGGTCCAAGTCCTCGTTCTCCACAGTCATCGCCTCAGATTCTGTATGAAATATCACATCACATTTCAGGGATATTTATTACACATCTCCAAGTCGTGATCTACCAGTACCTGGCACCATAAGCCATCACTCAAGTCACACTTCTAGCCCCCAACCGTTACATTAGCTATTTGCTCCTTCCATCACTTCTCTACTTCTCCTGATATCCCTTCCCTATTTTTATAAAAACCATGGAGTTAACACCTCAATCCACTCGTTCCCCAACACCGCCTTTCACATTCTCAGGCCACCCACAGCCACTCTTTGAATATCCTTCACCGGCTCAAAGTGACTCGAGGTACAGATCAACGGATTCTATTCAAGGCTTGGGACTCTATTCTTGCTCTATTCCAGGATCTCCTCCAGCAATGGACAATCAGGATGCTAGCTCGGAGTCAGGAGGCTCATTGTCTGTGACCACCAACCACTGGGCAGATATGTCTTTGCAACACCGTGATTCGCCCAGGTCATCAAGGTCAACGCCCAACATCCTTTCCGCAGAGTATGATCCCTTTGCCTCCTATAATCCGGCAGTATCAGCTCCTTTTACTTCTGATATATATACCACTTCCCAAACTGCCGAAACATCCATTCTTCCAGCTTCTCCACTTCACTCCAGCAATACCTCTCATCGCTCTTCACTTTCTTCTACTCCACCTTCAGAGATCTTTACTCAAGCGGGATCAATACCTTCTTACACTCCACGTATCAAGATGGAAGACCATCCAGAATATGCTCCAAATAGTGATTCTTTCACACTAGGCTCCCCCCACAACGGACACACTCAATATGTGGGTGCAACTACTACGTATCCAGGAACGCTCGAGACTTCATACTACGACCAATCACCATGGGGACAAAAGGTCGAATACACTTCCACTGACTTGCCACCATTCTCGGCTCTACAAATCCCGACTTATGACAGACGATCCGAAAGTCAGGATAGATCACCATCACAAGATTTTCGACGTCCAAGCGTAGTAGCAAGGACCAGGGGACCTCGAAAGCTCACCACCAAGGAAGATGCAAACTTCCAATGTCGTGTTAAAGGATGTGGAAAGCTTTTCGGTCGTAGTTACAACTACAAAGCACACATGGAAACTCACGATGCAGACCGAGAGTATCCATTTCCATGTACTGTGGACAACTGTACCAAAAAATTCGTCCGGAAGACGGACCTTCAACGCCATAACCAGAGTGTTCACATGAAGCAACGAGACCACAAATGTGACTATTGCAGCAGATATTTTGCAAGGAAAGACACACTGAGAAGGTACGCCTCCCTCCCCCTCTATATCTTCACTGTCCCCCCTAAACTAACAACTACAATAGACACATGGAAGATGGTTGTTCTAAACGCTTTGATATCGAAACTGTTGATTTCAGACCTCAGAACTACGCTATGGACAGCAATTCCATGAACACACTAAAGCTAGTGCTTCCAACTCATCCAGATCAGATGGGACGAAATCCATCTTACATTCAGAACTCCCACTATTCATCACCCCCACACAGCGAAAGCTCCGGTCATGCGCCTCATGATGCTATGGTTAGCCCTCTTACATCAGTCTCATCAGGGGCTTCATACCTAATGACGACAAGCTCGGAACATCACCATCATGAGCCTATATGGCATACTCAGTAGATTTTACTATCATTATTGTTTGGCGCAGGATATTTGAGAACGGTCACGGCGCGAAGGATACGATGGACATAAAATTTCCGAGGGAATTTGAAGATTGTTTGATTTCATTTTCATTTCCATCAGAGCCTTGCACAAAATATTGCAAAATACGAAAAAATCACCTAGATTTTCGATAACTCAGCGCTTCGGTTCAAACTCATCAGTCATCATCAGTCATCAATCATAAATGAGTTATTCCAGAAAAAACCCGACGTGCATACGCGGATGTCAGATATCAGCACGAACCTGCATTTTTGGTATCGTTTTGTACCGCCACACTATTCATTACGCATGTGTACTACCACACTGAAATATACTTCCGGTTCAAATCCAAACAATTACATGTCTCCGTATGCCAAAGAATACTTGTTAGGTTGGGGTTCACTAATGGTTACATAACCGGATGTACGATGCACAACCAACCGCACGAATTCAAAATGTAAGATTGGGAGATGAATGCTGAGCGCTCGTTCACGCGTCCATTGGGAAGTGCAGTCGCGATGCTGGCTACCTTGCCTTGCATTGCATCGGGTCATCCGTTCCTTTTTTTTCCCTTTCCTACCTGTTTGGTTGTGTTGTGTTGCTTTGCGTTGTGTAATTATACTCGGTGTCATTTGGGGGGAATTTTCCACTCTTTTTTTTGTTTTTGCAATCTGCGATTTGCGAAATCCCGATGGTTTGGATTCGGACCTCGGTCGCTTCCAATATCAACTCATCACATTTACTTTTACAAACAGTTGGGTGGATTTCCTTGAGAGTGGGATCTCGATGTTATTCAACAACTTATTGTTTTGGTCGTTTTGTTTTCAGTTTTTTCTTCTTTAGCAGCCTTGTTTTATAGCTTCTCTTTTGTTCATTCTTTTCATATTTCCTTCAGCGCACGAATACCCTTTTCAAATTCTATAATCCCGCCGTCAGCGGGATACAACATCACACAAACGGTCGGTCGGCACTGGGAAATAAAGGCTTGGTAGGATGATGGATGAAAAAAAAGACTTGGGTTTTGGTAGGCAAGGTCAAGGTCATTCATTCATTTGGGAATATCCGCGATGGATTCGGGAACGAGATAATTTTTAAACGGCAGGGTAAATATGGGACTGGGCTCATGGGATTGGATGGAAAAGACATGATGAATCCTGAATCTCTTCAATTTTTGATATCAATCTCTATTTTTCTATTTTCTATTTCGTCCCTACTATATGTATGAATCAGAGCTGAGTTATGTGATATAATACACTACATAGAGAGATTTCTATTTTCCCGTCTTTGGTAACTGCAAAAAAATTGAAGGGGAAGGATGTTTACAAGCGAGTTGAAGCTGGAACTCGTTCGATCGTTGGATGGCCGAATTAAAATTTGGGGACTGTTAGTTGCACAGATCAAATAGATGAGATAAGATGACACAGAAAAATAAATTTCCGTTTTGAATTGACATCTGCGTTGAATTATTTGCCTTACCTGAACAACCATTGTGAAATTTTCGTTTGCCTTGTTTTGAGTTCTCTCGGTGTACCTATTCGTTTTTGCATTGCGAATTAGATGCTGTATCATGTATGCCCCTTTCAGCTGTCTCCATCATCGTACCAGGAGTTGAAATAAATTTAAATTCTCTCAAGATCATTGGGCACCTCGTGAAATCCCAATTGGGGACATGATTCTGAATTTGGAATTAAATTATTCACATGATAGGAATTATTTGCATTTCGTCGTTTCGATGTTGGTAAGAAGCTCGGGCTATTAGATATAAATTGAATGTAAATTAGTTTATTGGCTACTCACATAGGTGAAATGGAACCATGGTCATTGCTGCTTAGAATGATGGATGTGATTAGGGCGGCAGGTACGAAGTGAGGCTAATGCTGACTTATATGATGGGGCTAGTGGGTACAAACTTATAAAGAATAGGTATGATCGAATATGAATAGATCACGAATATATGAATGCCAGGGTAGGGGTCAAGATGTAAGTAAGAAAGGGAGAACATTATGCCGGGTCGATGGGTTGGATTGGAGGGTGTGCGGTAAGCGAGAATCACAGGGGCATCAGCAGGGTAAAAGTGACCGGGAATTAGTGGCCGGGGAGGAACGAAGGTACTTACCGTATGTACGAAGTAGATGTATGACTTAATGAGAAATTGGAAATAGAAACAAAATATTAGATGGGAAATGATTTTGGACGGACTAGAGCGAATAGAGAAGGTAAGAGCAGAAAATCAGGGAATATCCCCCTCTCCTTGTGGGTTAATCATACGTTTTTTTGTTGCTTTAAAGGGTGCTTACACGGTAATGACTGTAAATCCGGCATCGATACCGCTCGAATGGATTGGCCATCTATTGGCTGAAAATTCGTGCTGTTGGTTGGTGAAAAAGATGACCATTGGTCGGGAGGCTGAATTTCAAATAGGACGCATACCCTTGCGTCTCTAAAGGCCAAAAGTCAACCCCGCAATGAAAACCGGTCCGGACGGAGACGGGGTAGATGGCTGCGCGTGTTCCGGGCAGGGGAAGAATCGGTATTTTTAAGCGCGCGCATTTTACCCCCTGAGATTGATGTGTTGTCTTTCGATTTGTTAGATATGACAGATGTTGGTTCTACTGCTGGCCGTCAACATGGCTAGTTTCGGCTGACAATGTTGATCATTTGCACATTGAGATGCAATTATTAAGGGGAGCTCCCGCTGAGTCCCTTCTCGATAGACGAGGCTAATTGTACGGAGTAATACCGTGAAATGTAATTTGAACTAGGATATTTTACATTTATGCACAAGGGAACAACCGAATTCATGATAACCATGACCCATGATTGTCATACATGATGCATGTACAACCGTTACATTCTGGCCCGTTTCTTGCTTGTCATGCTCGTGGCAACGTCGTCCGATATCCTGTCTGTTATGATGGTACATAGTGTACTTCGCTTCTGTACATTGGGTTGCATTTTCACCCACACTTCAAAAGAATGGCGCTACGCCGAGTACTGCGAAGAACGCTACTTCTGTGTTGCCCTTGATCGAAGGTTTCAGAAGCTTTTGAAACGAACGAGCTTGGAGGCTGAGACCCGATTATATAAGCCAACAAGCCAAGAAGTAATTAAATCCAGATGGTATCGCAACGGATAGCACGGCAGTGGTACGCTCCTAAATGGCGGCTATAAACAAGAGCATTTCGCCTAGTAGTTGAATCTTACGATAGACGCTTTGATCTTCCATGGGATATCATCGTTGATGCCTGCTATTAATTTCATCTGAGCTTGTTTTTTCCTTTTGAGGTTGAAAACAATCCCGGAAATAATATACATGATGTTCCGGACGATAGTGGAGAACTCAGTGGATTAACGGGATATATCGTTCGATTGATAGTGGCAAGGAAAAAATCGTGGAGAATGATGGACGAGGACTGGGTTGTGATCGTTCAGATGAGGATAAGATACATTGGTGAAAAGAGTTGAATCACTTCGAATCTCAAGTGCCCACCTTCACGCTCTCCATCTGTTCCCCCCGCCGAGTAGTAAGTGGTTGATAATATACGAGGACCTTGCAAAAGTTACTTCAGTGGTGCTCTTTCGGTAACTCCTTTCTAACAAAGTACTGGGTATTACAAAATAACTGGGCTCGAGATGTAACGTGCATCATCTCTGTGTATAGATTTGGGTCGAAAACAGGTGGATAAATGGAAAGATAACTGTGAAATCATGGGTAGTGTCTTGGCCGACTTCACAAAAACGTATCAACAAGTTTCCTCAGTAGATAGCAAGAAATGATCCGGACTTATTTTCTTGATAATATGTCATATCTCATGATCATCTCGTTCAAAGTAGAAGGTGTTTGTGCTTGAAATGGTATGTTGTACATGGGCAACGAGAAAACAACTGTGATTCTTACTGAATATCGGGGTGATCGTTCCCCGACGCTTAGAAAGCCATCGCCTAATTCGGGGTATTCTCCGTTCCATTACTACTTCACACCCAGTCTCATTCTAACCCATTACATTACGTCTTTCTATTCTTAAACCAATTTCCCTTCTATGGTTACCATTCACATTGGCTGAATATCTAGTTCTTACTATGCAGCAAATCTATTGTGTATTGTTGGCATGTTGGGGGGACATTGAGGGATATCTTCTCATTGGTCAAGCCTACGAACTGCAATGTAAGCAAGCAATCATGTCTGTGTGGGGGGAATCTGAATAGTCTCACAATCAATCCCACACATCGATACAGAACAACGGCAGTTGTCTGATTCGCACAGCAACAATGCCCACTGTCAAAAGCTGACTGGCTGACGGGGGCTTCATCTCATCTCATCTCATCTAAAATGCGGACTAGAATTCTATGATCCATGATCTAAGCCGACGGCCCCATGTACATCCATCTAACTTGGCCCCCAACATGATCAGCCACTTGCCTTACATAATCCTTGATATTCAAGATGTATATCTCGTATGAACGAACAAATCCACTACCCTGAAATTCTCCACTCAAGGTTGATAGTTGGAATGCGGCAGTGCGAGCTGCAGAAAAGTCTTCAACAGTTGAAGATCGTTTCATATGTCGACATAGCCCCAGAGAGATAATTTATTCCCCTTGCTAAATCGTTATACATCTGTCTGCTTGTATTTTTACGTACATTGAATGTACCAAAACACATTTTAAGAAAACGTGGATGACACGCTCTTATTATTCTGCAAGGTTCAGAAACCGGTCAGCTTTCTGGTAGGAGCAATGAGCCACCGAAATTAGACGACTTCCGTCCTTCCATCACACCTATCACACCCTTCGATCACCGATTCCTTCAAGTATCCTTACACTTGATTGACATCAAGCATCGTTTACCAAAGCTACATTGGCTACGTTGCAATGCATTTCCGGATCTACTACCTGGACGATCTCTCCTTGTTCATCGGAAGATGATGGCTATTCTTATCACTAAACTCTATATCCAATACATCCAATCTCATCTCTCCGTACTTAAAATTATTTCGGAGTTGGATTCCCATTCGGGTTCTCCAACGAATGTACGTTTTCGGATCGAAGCCAGTTAAGGCGGCGTAGAATCCTAAGAATATCTCCACCAAAGATCTCACAGCGTCGCTCCGTTCCGCGAGGCACAGTCTGCACCTGAAATGGTAGTAGAACCTACGGCCCTACATGCCATATGCAGTCCTAGTGATTGCGCATCTTCAGCGCTTATTAAATACCTTGAAGTGGAGTATCGCGGCAAGTCAAACAAGATCTTCAAGCATTATGCAGTCGGTGGAACGCCTATCCACACACACCAAATCACATATGCCAATGTTGATGTGCATCTAAATATCTTTAGAGACCAAGTGGACACTCTTGTTTCAAAAAGAATTCTGGGTCCCAAAAAACTCCACAATGAGATTATCAATGGAGAGGGGCCTTATATTTCAGTTTTAGAGAGAAATGACTTGTCCAATAGGAGAAATATTTTGATAATGTGCCTCTTTAGTTCTCCAAGGATTATCTGCACTCGTAAAAAGTTTCAGCCATTGCCCGTTTGGGACTCATCAGCAGTGCATCAGGGGTCATAAGCCAATTCTAGATCTTGAAAGTTAAAATTCCTAATGAGTATTACTAGAACTCTCGCTTTATTTCCTATTCTGTATCTTGAATCTGAATGACCTAATGCGAGGTTGCGGAGAGATTCTATGTAACCGCTTTTCGAGCGAATTATCTTCAACATAAATCTGCTTTGGCTTCAAATCATCTGCTCAATTCCAGACAAGGAGGTTTTCACTAGCTAGGTGCCGCTGGAACATTAGAAGTCGTTTGTTCGGCCAATAACAGGTCAAGTTGACTGGATTTTGAATGTCTCGAGTTGCCCCAGTCTAGCCTCTCCTTATGGACCGAACATTCATGAATGAAATCCTTCTACTCATATGACCCCAGTGGCTTTTTGCCACTTATTATGTGCTTCCCCATTTTGAATTGTCAAACGGTTTTCCTGTTGTGGCCTATCAAGTAGCCATTCATACCTGCCTCTAAGCCAGTGCCCTGTCATGCGATCCAATATGTCGATACCCTGTAGATATCCGTCACTCTAATAAAGCTAAACTGTGTCAGAATACTGAGGTCGCCCCATTTGTATCACCGAAATCGCCGGTGAGTTAAGTTGATGGGTTGGTAGTCGCCGAGAAGAAAGACAACGGAACCACTGCGAGACACCTCATATATGCACACAATACTATGCGAATATTACATACAGTGTAAGGGGAACAACCATTCGATACAATGGCAGAGAGTGATATGTTTACCACATGCCTAGTAGAATCCCGGATTGTTTCAATTCGATGCAGCATAGTAAAGACTGACTATCGATCACGGGATTACAGAGAACAAAAGCTGCACAACACCCACCTTGCAACATGGGAAATTTCGCAGATCTTCCCAAAAATAATAATCATGCAATTCCATTTGAATTGGTAAAAGCTGTCTCTTATCGTGCTATTTCGTTTCACAACCAGGCTTCCAAAAATGGATCTAGATTATATTCGTTCACCGGGGAAGCACCGGAACCACTCCCGGCTATCACTGAAGCTTTTTATTTCTTCAAGAAAATAAGCTGCAGCAAGTGTGTATGTATTGTTATACAGATAATGATTTGAAAGTTGCCAAATTTTCCTTGCCCGTGAGCAGGCAGTGAGATGCTGGTGTAGGCAACTATCTACGGAACCCCTCCAGTTTGTTAAATACCTAGTTCAAATATATCAATGGATTACACTATACGACAGGCACTCTGGGAAGACAGAAAGTCTACCTTTGAGATCCGGAGCTCAGGGTCTTGATCCTATCAGAAGAACAATTGCGCAAAACAACATAATCTTCGCTTCCGCGAAGTTGGCTCTATGCAATGCTACGAGGTACGAATGGTACGCTGACCTCTGCGATGACCTCTGGATTTCACTTTACTGTACGTGTACACTCCACATGTTTCTAGACTGTTGTGGTTAGAAATAGTCGGGTGCAGTGTGGAAGTAATAGTATGTTTGATAACAAAGTGCTTACTCAGAGTATCCAGTGGTCCGGACTGCAATGTCACAATCAGCAACGTTGGAATATCTAACCCCTTTTAAATATCGAAATTATTTCAGGTAAATAGTCTTGATCAATTAAATTATTCAAAGTAATAAAGCTTAAAGAAGTAATAACAACATTTTTAGAACGTCGAAACTAACAATTTAGATTAGATTATAACTTGTATCCTTGAAAGTATTAAGAAAACTAATCTTGACTTCTGATTTGAACTTCGGGATTCACTAGGCCTGTTAAAACCCGACTTCGGGCTTTGGTCGGCGATGGGCATTCATTCGGAATTTTCCAATCTCTCAGAATTTACTGTCAGTGATGATGTCGTATTGTCGGAATTTTGAGCCACTTACGACAATTCTTATTGTGCTGCCTAAGGAGCGAAAGCGAAAGAGAAAGAGAACATGTTCAAAGTGGTGATTGGAAGAGAAGTTAGGGTTTCTGCAAAGTTGCTTGAAACACTGGTTCTCGTGTAGAATATGCAGTTTCTCGTCTGAAATTGCTGAGAATAGTATCTCAGCTCCCAGAAATGATGCAATATATCTTCGCTAAAAGAACCCGAGTTTGGGGAATAGTAGCGAAGATGGTGACGATGTTACTCTTCTGTTACTTTTGAACAGAATGATCGTGTCTTCGTATCATCATTCAGATCTTCAAGTCCGTGAAGCTTATGAGTAACATTCAAATCTTTGGCTTTTAGTATCGTTACATCAAGTCCGTATCTCCTTTTCTGCCCTCGTGCTAATCTCGTTGACTCGATAATGCAAATTCCAGAGCTGTTTTATGACTGAGAGGGAAAGTAATTGCCCTCGTCATCCTTATGAATTTGCGTTCGATATGCCAGCACTACAATATATGCCTACTTTAGGTAGTAATTTTGCTTGTTAGAAATCACAATCTATGCTTCCGATTGAAGGAACATGTTGAATATATGGGATATAGCTAGCATAGTGATTGCATTAGTATGACATCACTCGGAAGGGGGATCATGAGCCCTCGGATCCCGTAGATGCCCCGCGAATACTAAGCATGCGAATATATTTGGGCGTTAAACAATTCCTAGGAAGGAGAGCGTGTGGTCTTTCAGAGGATGTGGATACTATATGGGTTGACCTACGAAACAAGACCTCTATGTACACGAATGACCTATTTCTTTTCTACTTAGCTTATACTTAACGTTATGTCCCATATTATCATGCTAACCCACCAGCTGCCAGAGACAATTAAACAATATACAAAAATGTTTCACTCAT